CCATAGTCTTCCCACTCATCTCTTCCCACCCACCTTCATTGGTCTTATCTAAAATCAGAACACACCACTCATCAACCCAGAATCTAGTATTTTCTCAGAAACAAGAGACTGAGACAAAGATCAAGTATTTCTACTTCCAAGGAACAGAGAAAAGGGGGAGAACTCCCTTTCAGTTGCCCCTAAGACGTCAAGATAGGTACCACATGAGACAAATGAATCCGACCCACAGCTCCGTAATAGTTTTTCTCAACTATTTCCAGGTGCTTCTTATCAAACTGATTAAAAGACTCAGACTCATTTTTCTCACTTGGTCCTCTTTCCATGCAGCATAGATCATTTTCTTTTCAACTACCATTTCAAAACTTCAAAAACTGCCACTAGAATTTGAAAGAAATGACTCCTAAATACTTACTTAAGGGGGAATATATTCCATACTACAAACACATATATATAAAATGTAACTTCCAGCACATGTCTGTAGTTCATCACTCACATTCTTTGCCTTTGTTATCAGTGGAAATCATGAACTTCTCTTTGTATAAAATCCTAGAAAGTTTAGCATGGTAATACATACCCAAGAGATTCACGGAACCTAACATGGAAAGGGGCCATTCATTTACCCGATAACATTCCTCAACACTCCCAATGATGGACAGGACTTGCAGACTCTGTAAATGGACCCTCTCCAGGATCCTTAACCACATCCCATATGAAGTAATCTCTTCATGTAGGGGCTCTTAACTGCTAAGACCTCCCAAAGCATGAGCTGTGTTACACCTAAGCATCCCTGCTACTGTAACTGGCTCCTGTGAATTTCAGCTTGCAACTTCAAGGCAAGTAGCAGAGATTAGTTTATACCTGGGAAGCATGATAAATATTACTCTGAAAATGATACTTATTGAAGTTGACATTTGCTCTGGAAGAGTTCACTCACAGCTTTGATGTTTGAGATAAACTTGTGCAAGATTGAGTGGAAGGCACGCTTTCCAAGTAGGCTCAGCAGGTGCTCAGAAAAATCCTATTAAGCACATGCAATATGAGTAATCAAAATGCTTGGTCTTGTGATCACAAGAAATTTATTTTAGACTTGGAAAGAAGGGCAAGGCAAAAGGGTGGCCTTTCACCCAATCCATGAGCTCAGATTCAAAGCTGGAGTCAGGTGTAAGCATACAGGTTATTTTATGAAAGAGGGGAAGGGGGAGTTGTTGAATTAAGGGAATTAAGGGAAAGAAAAAACCAGGACCCTACAAATCCAGTGAAAATAACACATGATGGGTGAGAAGACACTGCAAACAACATTTTAGGTAGGTCCTTTAATCACCAGCTGATGAGGACCTCAGCAAGAAAAATCTGGAAAAACATGACCTATTAATAAATGCAGCCTAGTTACTAAAAGCCTTATGTCTGCTTACTCAATATGACTCCTCGTATATTAAGATAAATGAAGATGAAATTACTATCCTTATCAGTGCAACACAAAATTGGTTTTCCAGCAGCGACTGAGTCTGCTGCACTGTCGGCACACTCTTTATTTAAAAAATTAAAGTTTTATTGTTATGAAAAAGGGTGACTACAGGTGATATGGTCACAGTGGTCCAAAAGAAAATGCGGAAAAGTGGTGTGCACAGAAGTCAGGGAAAAGTATCAAAGAAACAGAAGTTATTCTCTTAGTGAGAAATTAACAAAAGGTGTCTAAAGTGGACAAGATTTGGTAAAGCCCAACACCACTGGAGAGAAACACATGTAGTAATTACAGTGTTTAGGGGAACACATTCTGTTAAAAATTTCTACTGTAGAGCAGCTGATTTATGTCGTCTTAGTTTCTGCCATACAGCACAGTGAATCAGAGACACAGATCCACTCTTGTTTTTCTCTTAGATTCTTTTCCCATGCAGGCCATTATAGAATATTGAGTACAGTCCCCTGTGTTATACAATAGGTTCTCATTATTTATTTTACATATAGTAGTGTGTATATGTGGCAAACTCTTATTCTTATGAGTAAAAGCATGTTGGTCAACTGGGAAAATCTGGAACGCTTTCTGCAGCCAAGCTGAACTAACCCTATCTGCAATTCAATACTGAAGTCTGGGCCTCATGAGCACCATGTTTCAATCAACTGAGCTAAAACAAAGGCTCTCTCATGGGAAATAAGAAGTGCTGCAAGCTAAAAAATATATATATATGTGTGTGTGTGTAAAGATCAGCTTAAAAACATCTAGAAAACACATAAACAAAAAATCATAGAGGCAATCAGTTGTACAGCCCAGGAGTCCATTCCCCAGTCCATATCCCTTTAGCTACACCTGTGGGAACACAATATGCTCTTATTTTTATCTATTGATTACTATTCAGTTCATGTAAGGTTACACATGTATCTCCTTGACCAGCTCTAAAAACAGTTACTACTCATGTGAGTAGTGAACACCCTCAAAGTACCAGACCCTGCCAGATGCTTACATGCATGCTTAGCCATTCAGTCATGTCCGACTCTTTGTGACCCCATGGACTGTAGCCCACCAGGTTCCTCGGTCCATGGGATTCTCCAGCCAAGAATACTAGAGTGGGTTACCATCCTCTTCTCCAGAGGATCTTACAACCCAGGGGTTGAAGCTGGGTCTCCTGTTTGAGCCACCAGTGACACTTACATACATGACGTCAAATTCTCAAAAGCAGTGTCTGGATACATAAGTATTACAAGTACGCTGCACACAGCTAATGAGAAGCACAGCCGGCACCACACTAAGGCTCGCCTGGTTCCAAAGCACATGCTCTTACCACTGCAGACTTTCAAAGAGTCTCAGAACATGAGATGTAGAAGGAACCCATCATTTTAATAACAGCTACCTTTTATTAAAAATCTACAATGTGCTTTAAATACTTCATCTTCTTACCACAATCAAGAGATGATACTCCCCTTTGGGGATAAGGGAATATAATCAGGGAAGTGACCTGTCCAAGAATGCAGACTAGAAAGTGCCTAATTAACTTAACTGAGGTCTGTTTAACAACTAACTGATGTTATTTTGACCATGACCTCAAAGAAATCAGAATGATACCTAAGTACTCAACAATTCAACAGCACGCTATTTTTAGGGGAAAGTGCAAGAGGCTGAACATGGCTACAAGAAACTCATAGTGCTGCTAGATGTACAAAATTTCAGAATTAGAACAGATCAGAGGTTACAGGTGTACTCAAGCCCCATCACTTTGCAGGTGAGAAAACTGAAGCTCAGAGATAGAAAATTGCCCTTGAAAAAGAATCTGAAGCAACAGGGAGAACGCTGCAAGGGCAATCCAGGTGAAGGGTATAAACTGAAGAAAAGCAAAGCACAGAGGTCACAGGAAGCATGGTATGTGCTTGAATTATAACCATATAAAATGTACTCCATGAGAAAGAAAAAATAAATAAAAGAATATTTCCACCAAATTGAATGGTCAAACGACATAGCTTCTTTTCCTATAACATTTTTTTAAAAGAGGCTTTAAGACAATCTCTCCATTTAATCTAACCTCAAACTTTCTTCATACTTAACATATTTAACCTTGTCTAATACTTGACATGAATCTCTGTGCTATAACCCAATTCTCTTTTAATTTTGTTTGCTGCCATCGCTGTGCCTGTACTAAAGCATGAGAACATGGATTTATACATTTTTCCTAGCCAATTGCCTTCTCAACCCAAACTTACTTTTCTTCTTTTCTTTTTCACCCTCTGGTGTGTAACACTCAAAGCCTCTGAAGGCAAAATTAATCAAGTTTCCACATAAAACTCAGAGCCTACAGAAATTTTTATTTTAAAGAGTACCAACTAAACCTCAACAATGCAAAGAATGCTGCCTCAGACATCTTATTACAAAACGCGGTACCACCATTCATTAATGCAAGGAAATGCTGGCCACAGACCAAAAGTTGAGCTCAACAGTCTGTTTTCATAAAGAAAACTTTAACAAATTCTTCAAGGGAACAGTTGCAAAGTAAAAGTTTTTCAACATTTCAAATATTTAAGAAGTTTTAATTCATCATAATCAATGCTAAAAAGAATTTACACATTTGCTTATGCTGGCTGTGTAGTACAGAGGAAGGAAAACAGTATAAAACTTTCTGGGGTCAAAGCGCTTTATCTACTAGTTTCAGTCATTATACTTCCAAAAACGTGAGGCTGCTAATTCAGGTGCGGTGGAGGGTGTGTTGATGAAGTGAGTGCTGGTATACCGACACCCTAGAGAAAAATCAAGATTTCAGTTTATGTATGAAGCATGCGCAGGTGGCATTTAAAATTTTTCTCCAACGTCTCAGTCAAAATAAACTGTACTACTCCTAATGATTTGAAAACTTGGAAACCTATCTCAAGTCCTGTGAGGGAGGCAGACGTTAGTATAGAAGCCACTGGGCCTAGTCCAAACAGGCCACAAGAGGAGGAGTCTGGGAAAGACTCGATGTCAAGTGAAAGTGAAGGAGAAGCCAGAAGTCACCTGAAGCACGGCAGAAAAGTCTAAGGTGTGGGTGGGAGGGTGTTGGGGGAATGGGGGCTTGTCAGTGGAAAAGTACTCAACGACAGACAGTACATAAGGTGTTCCTCAAAACGCCAAGTTCATCCTGAGAGAGGTCACGTGGGCAGGGCAAAAGCAGGTTTTGAATTCTGAATCCAGGAGAAGACAAGCCCATTTCATAGGTGGGTACAGTGAGGGAAGGCTTTCAAATAAGGTCCCAGGACTACTAAGCAGTACAGTCTAAACTGGTCTTTGAGCCCTTAGAAGGTCTAACTAAACCTGGCATCCCCCAGTCCCCAAGCTCAGCGCCTGGCACACAGCAGGAAATATCTCTGAACAGATGTCCCAAGTCTTGAGAAACTTCAACCTTCTTTGCAAGGAACTCAGCTTTGGGCCGAACACTTTGGCGGCAGAAGTGGGGAAAAGCAGGCCGAGCAGAACCTGGAAAGGCTAGAGATACGGGGTTCGAGTCGGAATGCTGGCCCTCCGCCCGCCCACTGTCACTCACCCGGATGCCCTTCACCACGGTGATGTTCTCATTCTCGTCCGCCTCGAAGGTGACCCGGCGGGTGCTGGCCGTCCCGCCCATGGCTTCTGCTTCTGACCCGGCAGAGACCTAGCACGGACGCACAGACACCACAGGTCCCACGGGCACACACGTGCGTGGACGGGGCCAGGCTCCTGCCTTGCACAGCGGGAGCAAGGCCACGACCCCAAAAGGCAAGGAGAAGGCGCCGGTCCTGAGCTCCCGCCTCCTCCGGTCACGTGACACAACAACACTTGACTCCAATTGGTCAAAGATACGAATGGCCCGCCTCTCTAAGGCAAGGGCTCTCGGATTGGTTAGCGCAGACCCGGATGCTATGACAACAGGTGGTATTTGACAAGGTTTCCGGAGCCCCTGGGTATAGTGGGAATTGTATTCTCGATCTGGTGCGATGGGTTCTGGGACTTTTCTCGCCTTCATATTTTGAGTTCCAGAGGAGTATGGCCTTCTGGGAGTTGTAGTCTTGGCTGCAGAAAAGGCGTGTAACTGGGGGAACTTTGAAATCACGCTTTAAGGGTAGTATTCTTTCCTTAAAGATATCCTTAAAGTTTAGGCTACCAAGTTAAAAGATACAATCTCTTTCGGGAGGGAACTCTCGGTTTAATGAGGGATCTGCACTCTCCTAATAGAGCCTTTCCTATTTTCCTATACAGAAATATATGAGGCAAAATGTTCTTTATTTTAGTCTTAACCAGGCAAAACAAAACAAAACAAAGCACACCACCGCATTTGGCGTACGGCTTTATTTTGTAAACTAGTTATTTCTTTTTTATGAAAAGTAAGCTTTTAAATATTATGGCTTCCAAATCTGCATATAAGGAAAGAGAAAACTATTTGCATCAAGCTTGCAGAGAGTTCACTTTTGTCTCCCTCCACTTCAATTAGATAAGCTAGTTATACCATAATAGGATCAGGCAGAAAAAAGTGATTGTCAAAGACAGTATTAATATAAATTAGTGGAGTAATTAAAACTATATCTGACAAAGTTGAGGAGTTTTCCTTTGGAAAGTTTCTAGATCAGTATTTCACCTCTACAGGACACATAAATAATGTTTATGTTACCTAAATACATATTTAAAATTTATTTTTTGAAAATATTCTATGACATGTATAAGTTTACCCATATGACCTTAGTCTTACAGAGGTGTATATCTTCTCTTTAGAAATTAGATTAGTGATGATATTCCCTTCCGGTAGTCTCTTTCAACATTAAAGGCAGCCAGTCACAACACAGCATGACATCCTCTTCTTTCAAGTTCAGTTCAGTTCAGTCACTCAGTCACGTCAGACTCTTTGCAACCCCATGGACTGCAGCACACCAGGCATCTCTGTCCATCACAATCTCCCTGAGTTTACTCAAAGGAAGGAAAGTTGCTCAGTCCATCACTATCTCCCTGAGTTTACTCAAGGGAAGGGAAGTCACTCAGTCGTGTCCGACTCTTTGCGACCCCATGGACTGTAGCCTACCAGGCTTCTCCATCCATGGGATTTTCCAGGCAAGAGTACAGGAGTGGTCCGCCATTGCCTTCTCCAGGGGATCTTCCTGACCCAGGGATTGAACCCGGGTCTCCTGCATTGTAGGCAGATTCAAACTCATGTTCATTGGGTTCGTAATGCCATCCAACCATCTCACCCTCTGTCGTCCCCTTCTCCTCCCACCTTCAATCTTTCCCAGCATCAGGGTCTTTTGCATCAGGTGGGCAAAGTATTGGAGTTTCAGCTTCAGCATCAGTCCTCCCAATAAATATTCAGGACTGATCTCCTTTAGGATTGACTGGTTTGATCTCCTTGCAGTCCAAGGGTCTGCTCCAACACCACAGTTCAAAAAGCATCAATTCTTCAGCACTCAGCTTTCTTTATGGTCCAACTCCCACATCCATACATGACTACTGGAAAAATCAAAGCTTATTTCAAAGGTACACATAAAAATGCAATAATATTTTTGAGCTTCAATTATGTGCTGATTTATTACAATAAAGTCTTAGGGCAGAGATTGTGTCTTTTTCATCCCTGTATCCCTGGTCAGCAGCAGAGTATTGAATTTATGACATGTCATCATTTTATTCAACAGTTCAGTTCAGTTCAGCTCAGTCACTCAGTCGTGTCAGACTCTTTGCGACCCCATGAATCGCAGCACTCCAGGCCTCCCTGTCCATCACCAGCTCCTTACTCAAACTCATGTCCATCGAGTCAGTGATGCCATCCAGCCAACTCATCCTCTGTCGTCCTCTTCTCCTCCTGCCCCCAGTCCTTCCCCGCATCAGGGTCTCTTCCATTGAGTCAACTCTTTGCATGAGGTGGTCAAAGTATTGCAGTTTCAGCTTCAGCATCAGTCCTTCCAGTGAACACCCAGGACTGATCTCCTTTAGGATGGACTGGTTGGATCTCCTTGCAGTCCAAGGGGCTCTCAAGAGTCTTCTCCAACACCACAGTTCAAAAGCAACAGTTCTTCTGCACTCAGCTTTCTTCACTAATTACAAAGAAAGGGTTTCTTGGAGGTAGTAAAGGGACCAAGGAAAACTAGTTATGTTGAATATATTTATCTCTTTAAAATGTTAAATAAGGGGAATTCTCAGGTGGTCCAGTGGTTAGAATGCAGCACTTTCACTGTCAGGGCCCAGGTTAGATCCCTGGTCAGAGAACTAAGATCCTGCAAGCCTCAGGGCGTGACCAAAAAGAAGAAAATAAATTTTTTAATAAGTAGTCTTATAATGCAATCCAAAACACTTTAGATAAACAACACAGCATATTAAATTTTAGTGTATTTTGAAAGTCTTCATCACAAGGAAAAAGCCTTAGCTAGACTTCCCTGTGCTGATCATTTCACAATACAAACAAGTACTGAAGCATTACATTATATCCCCGAAAATAATATAATGTTGTATGTCAGTTATACCTCAATGTTAATTAATTAAAATACTAGAATTAATAATCCGTTCCAATCAACATCAGAAAGAAATCCTCTGAGTTAAAAAAAATATATATGCATTTGGGGGCTTCCCCGGTGGCTCAGACAGTAAAGAGTCTACCTGCAGCACGGGAGACCTGGGTTCAATCCCTGCGTCGGGAAGATCCCCTGGAGAAGGAAATGGCAACTCACTCCAGTATTCTTGCCTGGAAAATCCCATGGACAGAGGAGCCTGTCAGGCTACAAGGGTCACAAGAGTCAGACACGACTGAGCAACTTCACTTTTCACTTTCTTTATATGCATCTTATCTTGGAACAATACCTACTGTAACAATAGTATTTTGTCTGTATCAATTTCAAAGTCAGGCCATGCATACAGTCCCTTAAAGAAAATTTCTCCAGCTATGCAGAAGCTGTGGTCTGCCTTTCTCTCTGGCTATACCTTATTAGTGATCATCGGACCCAAAGGCAGCATTTATTAGCCAGAGAGTTATGAGCTACAATGGAAAACTTTGCCCAAGGAAAAATGATAGCTAACATTTGAGATAAGCAGATTCTCTGCATCTTTTTTTCCTTTTCCCCCCTCTATTTAAACTTGAAAATTCAGAGCAAAGAGAAAGATAGCAAAGAAAGAAGGTGTGATACTGAGTTAGAACCATGAGGCTAACTAAGATAGGTGGAAGCAGAAACTATAGGGGGAATAAAAGGCATCCTTACTGGAAAATAAGTGCAACTGTATTTATAGATAATGATAAACAGAAAAATAAAAAAAATCCACTAAAATCCATTGAAACATTTTTTAAAAGTTCAGCAAGCTTATAGGAAAGAGGGTTAACATACAAGAATCAATTATATTTCTATACACCTGCAATTAACAGTCAAATTAAGAAAACAATTTCATTTATAATAGCATAAAAAACAAATCAAATGTTCATTAACTAATGACTGGGTAAATAAAATGTCGTACACACAGACAATGGAATATTATACAGCAACAAAAAGGAACGAAGTAGTGGCATATACTACAAGAGCCTCAAAAACATTATGCCAAGTGAAAGATAAACACAAAAGACCACATACTGTATGTGTGTTAGTCACTCAGTTGTGTCCAACTCTTTGCAACCCCATGGACTATAGCCCACCAAGCTCCTCTGTCCGTGGAATTCTCCAGGCAAGAATACTGGAGTGGGTTGCCATTTCCTTCGCCCAGGTGATCTTCCCGACCCAGGGATTGAACCCAGGTCTCCCGCATTGCAGGCAGATTCTTTATCACCTTTACCAGGGAAGCCCCTAACGTACATACTGTATGATTCTCAGTTCAGTTCAGTTCAGTTCAGTCGCTCAGTCATGTCCAACTCTTTGCTACCCTATGGACTATAGTACACCAGGCCTCCCTGTCCATCACCAACTCCGGGAGTCTACTCAAACTCATGTCCATTGAGTCGGTGATACCATCCAGCCATCTCATCCTCTGTTGTCCCCTTCTCCTGCCTTCAATCTTTCCCAGCATCAGGGTCTTTTCCAATGAGTCAGTTCTTCACATCAGGTGGCCAAAGTATTGGAGTTTCAGCTTCAACATCAGTCCTTCCAATGAATATTCAGGACTGATTTCCTTTAGGATGGACTGATTGGATCTCCTTGCAGTCCAAGGGACTCTCAAGAGTCTTCTCCAACACCATAGTTCAAAAGCATCAATTCTTCGGCACTCAGCTTTCCTTATAGTCCAACTCTCACATCCACACATGACCACTGGATAAACCATAGCTTTGACTAGGTGGACCTTTGTTGGCAAAGTAATGTCTCTGCTTTTTAGTATGCTGTCTAGGTTGGTCATAACTTTTCTTCCAAGGAGTAAGCATCTTTTAATTTCTTGGCTGTAGTCACCATCTGCAGTGATTTTGGAGCCCAAAAAAATAAAGTCTACCACTGTTTCCACTGTTTCTCCATCTATTTGCCATGAAGTGATGGGACCAGATGCCATGATCTTAGTTTTCTGACTGTTGAGCTTTAAGCCAACTTTCTCACTCTTCTCTTTCACTTTCATCAAGAGGCTCTTTAGTTCTTCTTCACTTTCTGCCATAAGGGTGGTGTCATCTGCATATCTGAGGTTGTATGATTGTATTTAAATGAAATGTATAGAATAGGTGAATCTATTAAAAATGAAATAGGTTAGACTTGTCAAAGGTGTGACTTCTGGTTGGTACAAAATTTCTTTTTTGGAACTAGTTAAAATATTCTTTAATCAGATTTTAGTGATCCTTGTACAAATTCATAAATATACTAACATTCATTGAACTGCACACTTAAAGTGGATGATCATTATAATATGTGAATTATATATCAATAAAGCTGTTAAAGAATATAAGCTACTCAAATGTGATAGAAGGGACTTCCCTAGTGATCCAGTGGTTAAGACTACGCCCTTCCACTGCAGAGGGCATGGGTTCAAGACCTGGCTGAGGAACTAAGATCCTGCAGGTTGCATGCACTGCCAGAAAGAAACAAAAAAATACTTAGCTTAGTGTCCTACAAGTAACAGAGTACTGTATTAAAGACCCA